TTGATCCCATTTGTTTAAAATTTCCATTGAAAGCTCTGCTTTTGTCTACAGCTGACCTGGGAACAATGGTTTTGGTGCCCATTGAGTGGATAATTTGCTGAACTTTAATTTTTCAGTCAGAATAGTGTAAGCTGAACCAGTTGAGGGATCTATGGTGTTGGCTGTTGTTTGTGCTGATAAGCAGTAGTCCTCTTCAATTAGGGCACAAACAAGATTTCCTCACAAATTGATGTGGATGGTCTGCCACTGTGGACTTCACATTCAACATCATGATGTCTCTTTGTAAAATGTATCCAGTTGTAAATTTTCATAAGGTATCATTGATTTCACTATTCTTCTACCAAACTTCATCATAAATTTGATGTTTGTTCTTGCTTCAATTTTAGCATCATTCATGTTTTCCTGATAGAGGCTCTTCTGACTAATATCTTACCATTCCTAGATCTGTTCAGAGATAACAAGTTAGAATGAGTTATTGTGCAAAAGATTTTGAACTCCACGCATAGCTTTTTCATAATATGCACTTTTTTGTTTGTTTTGAGACAGTCTCACTTGGTCACCCTAAATAGGGTGCCATGGTGTCTTAGCTCACAGCAACCTCAAACTCCTGGGTTCAAGTAGCCTCCTTGCCTCAGCCTCCTAAGTAGGTGAGATTATAGGCACCCACCACACACTCTTGCTCATGCTGGTCTTGAACTTGTGAGGTCAGGCAATCCATCCACCTTGGCCTCCCAAGTCCTGGGATTTCAGGTATGAGCCACCGTGCCCTGCCATAATATGCACTTTCCATGAACTTTTTGAAGACTTCCTGAATTTTACATCTTTTGAAAACTGTTCTATAGTTCTTGAACATTCTAGGTTTTTTCTCTTTACCTATCAATAGAGAGGTTTCTATTGACCCATCTTCAAGTTTGCTGATTCTTTCTTTGGCTGTGTCCAGTCTACTGATGGGCCCATTAAGGTATTCTTCATTTATTATAGTGCTTTTTTACTACTAGCATGCCCTTTTGATTCTTCCTTAGTTCCTTACCTCTGTTTCCATTGCGCATCTGTTCTTGTATGTTGTTTACTTTTACCATTAAACCTTTCAACATATTAATCTTTTTTTTTTTTGCAGTTTTTTTTTTGGCCGGGGCTGGGTTTGAACCCACCACCCTTTGGCATATGGGGCCGGCACCCTACTCCTTTGAACCACAGGTGCCACCCCGTATTAGTCCTATTTTAAATTTCCTGTCTGATAATGCCAGCATTTGAGTGTGGTTCTGATGTTCACTTTGTCTCATCAGACTATATTTTCTTTTTTCCTGCCTTTTGTTGAAGGTGAGATGGTGTCTACTGTATTTAGCAGGAACTCAAAATATGAGGATTTAGAGGTAGTAGGCCTCTGATATGAGGGTTTATGTTAATGTGTCTAGGAGCTGAGCTATGTTTAATGTTTGCTGTCACTGTAGGTGTCAGAGGCTTCAAATTCCTCTAGTGTCCTCGTTTTCTCTCCCCTCTTTGGGCTTCCCTAGATATTCCTCCTAAGGGAGTCTGTGTCTTGCAGCTCTTGCAGCTGTAACCCACTGTTACTATCCTGGAGTCCTGTGGTGTATGGTGAAAAAATGTGTGGGAGGGGAAACTTTATAATTCCATGATTAAATCTCAGTATTTCAGTAGGCCTATGTCCTTGGGCTCTGACCTTCACAGTGTTTGGGGGGTATTTTTTGGGGACACAGTCTTGCTTTGCCTCCTGGGCTACAGCACAGTGGTGTGATCTTATCTCCCTGCAACCTCAAGCTCCTGGGCTTAAGTGATTGTCCTGCTCCAGCCTCTCACGTAGTTGGGACTACAGGTACCAGTTCTCATGCCCAACTAATTTTCCTGTTTTTATGATGAGGTCTTGCTTTTGCTCAGGCTGGCCCCAAATCCTTGGCCTCAAGTGACCCTCCCACCTTGGCCTCTCAAAGTGCTAGGATTACAAGTATGAGCCACCACACTCCACCACAAATGTTTTTTTAATTCCCTCTGCTGACCTCTTACGTGAAGTAGGGAGGCTACAGGGGGCTAGAGTGGAAGAAATGCCCTTCCTCAGAAGGAATAAGGTTCTGATCAAGTCCTTCCTTCTGGAGAATAGGCCTTTGTTTTAGAGAAGGCTCTTGATTTCAAAGATTACTCACCCCTTTCCCACCCAGAGCCACTAGATCTTTCCCAGCCCTTCACCATGAGAACCAACTGCAATATTGGGGAGGGAGTTCCTCACTCCCATGCTAGTCCACACTCAGCCTCCAGTTCATCAAAGTTAGCAGTTATGGGTTCCTATTAGCCATGGCTCCTGCAGCTTCTACTCCAGGAAGGCACAACTCCTGTGACTCTGAATTCACCATCTCTCTCCAGATTCTGGGATGGCAATTTGCCCTGCAAACTCAGTTCTCTGATGGACCCAAGAAAACCCACCTATTTTCAGTTAGCCCAGATTTTTCTTAATGTAAGGACACATAGATAATTTCTGAGGTCTTTATGTTTTCCAAAGTATTTTTAAAAACTATGCTAGGCTACTGAAATTTTAGACAGAAGAGCTTTTGACTTTAAATTCCACAGGAGGTACTTACTACAGATGAAATACCCCATCAGAAACATGGATGTCCACAGACAAAGCAGGCTAGAACAATTGGAGTTTTGAAGTCAGACAGACCTGGGCTATAATCCCAGAAGTACATACAACCCTGAGCAAGCTTAGCCTCACCACTTTTTCCATCATCTGTAAATTGGGGTTGTTGGGAAAATGAAATGTGGTAAGCATACACAATACTTTGCATTCTGTCTAAATATTATCCCCTCCTGCCTTAGGAACCTTTGTAGGTTCTGGGAGGTTTCCATTTCAAAGGCCTAAATGAAGTCACTATCAGAGAACTGCTCAACAGAACCAACCTCACTCCCCTTGCCCACTTCCACCACACTGAGCCTGACGCAATGCTTGAGTGAGCACACACACCCCACTTGACCTAGCTCAAACCCTCCTTGCTACTGAGGGCAAAGTGAGTCAGGCAGACCTGGGTTCTAATCCTCCCTTCGCACTGTGTGCCCTGAGCCAGGATAACCTCTCTTAACCTGTCTCTTTGTCAGGCGAACAGCAGGTATGCTGGTGAGACCGAAGGAGGAAGGGGTGGACATGCAGCAGCATGCCTGGCATACATGGCACCATGAACTTCCCCAATGTCTGAGCCTCAGTTTCTCCCAGTCTGAAATGGGGCAATAGGATGGTAAAGGGTCTTACACCATGATTGAGTAAAAGAGTTCATTTAACCAACACTGCAGGAATAACTGGAGATAGGGCAGAATTGGAACCATGAGGCCTTAACCAAACATCTCACACAAGAACTGGGACTATCTTTTCTGCTAGATATCATCATCAAAAGGGGGGAGGGGTATCATCTGGTGATTCTCACTTGCAACACACACATGCACACACATCCCCAAGCCAGTAACACCTTTTATTTTTTTAAAAAAGGTTTCAATACAAGGCTCTGTAGTACATGCAGACCAACAACCCTCAAACTGATATTCCAGTCTGTGACCTGGTAGAGACCAGCTTCTCATTCTGAGTCCCATCACTAATTATGCCAATATCCAGCTTACCTCAAAGCTCATGATGATTCAGAGGTACATTTTAGCCTCTGAACAGCAAAGACACATTGAGCTACAAGTACAATGAGTATCCTTAGTGTATTAGACAGGAGAAAATACAAACAAGGCATAAAAAGGAAATGAAATGCCTGAATCCCACAGTCTCTCCCATTTGTGATCATGATCTATGTCCAGGGAAATCTGGAATGCCACATCAAGACCTTGCTCATTTGCTGATGAGATGGAGCCATTTGCCTTGAAGGACTGTAGGAAGGATGAAATATTGAGGTAAAAACTTGCAGTTGGGGTTACAATTATAGGCCAATGTTTCCATGCTGTCAACCCTTCTCTGTAAATTGAACTTTGTGTTTCAGACATGGTGCAAATGAGGCAGAGATTTCTAACTCCTGCCATGTCTATGCTCACAAGAGAATACAGCCATGTAAGAATTAAATGGAAGAATTCCTTAAAGAACACAGCCATGGAAGAATTCAATCATGAGAGGGATTTAATTTTAGTTTGGTTTAGTGTATGTAGGGAATTGGGTTTTTATAAACAGTTTTTAAAAATATTTCTTGTGTTTCTCAATGCTTAGTTATTTAGATTGCTACCTGGGGTTGATTTCAGGGAAAGGGTAAGTTTAGTCTTAATTGAAATCACCAGCTAATTAAAAGAGAGATGTTCTCATAAGAAAAGTAACTATGGTGGAAAGCAGCAATTAGCTTCTGGAACTACCTGCTTTTTGGCACAGAAAGCCACCTCTTCAGTCAGAGAAATGACAGACTGAGCAGGAGGAGCCTGCCATCCATCCATGAAGCCCTCCAGGGTAACAGAAAGGACATGGACCTTGGGGGAGAAAAAAGGCCTGTGCCAGCCAGGAAACATCTTAGATGCCTAGTTGCCAATTTCTCAAAATAACCCATGACAGCCAGCAGAGTTAGTAACTGGTTGACATGCCCTTATTTGTAAATGGAACCTAAATGCAAAGGTTCTTCCACATACCCTTAAACCCCATTCCCACAGTCCTATCTAGGACATTTTCATTCGGCCAAAAGATGCAGCAGGTGCTAAAGAAATGCAGTTCGTGGCTCAGCGCCTATGGCTCAACCGGCTAAGGCGCCAGCCACGTACACCTAAGGTGGCGGGTTCGAATCCCCAGCCCGGACCAGCCAAACAACAATGACGGCTGCAACCAAAAAATAGCCGGGCGTTGTGGCGGGCGCCTGTGGTCCCAGCTACTTGGGAGGTGGAGGCAGGAGACTCGCTTGAGCCCAGGAGTTGGAGGTTGCTGTGAGCTGTAATGCCACGGCACTCTACCCAGGGGGACAGCTTGAGGCTCTGTCTCAAAAAAAAAAAAAAAAAAAAGAAATGCTGTTCGTATTTCTTTAGCACACATACAGATTACCCCAAAAGAGTTCAAATATTCCCATTATCAAGAGGGGTGTTCCCCAGAATGTAACAAAATGAATTTCAGCTCTCACACCAGTTAAAGTATGGCCCAGAGTTAGTTAAGGAGTATAAAGTGACTAGTGGTCCGTTATTGTTCATTAGTTAGGGTGCATAATTGCAGAAACTCTACCCAGAGCTGAGCACACATGGATATCATGATGTCAGGTGTCAGTTAAGGGTTATGTTCCTGTAAACCAAAGCACCAGAGCTAAACTAACAATTTCCCTTTCTGTCCTTAATTGGTAAAGAGTTCAAGTACTGTGGTGCTACCAGAATGATACTGGGTTGTGCTTCTTCAGACATTCTAGTTTCTGAGTACTAAACGTTGGTAATAAAATATCCTTGCCCAGGTCAGGTCAGGATGAATCAAAAGGGAAGGCAGCTGATCAAACAGACTTGGAAGTGATTTTAATTTATCCTGACTCAGGTAAGCTTCTCTTCTCCTGGAAAGATGTTCCACAAAAGCTTCCTGATCACCAATTCCTACATTTTTTAAAAGGCCCAGATCAGAGTAATTTTGCCAAAGCTCTAAAAGGTTTCTCTGGGGACAGATAATTATACCAGCAGAGCAAGCTTGGAGAAACTCTTCTCCCAAATAATACTAACATCAACCAAAGGGTTAACACACCTATTTTCTAAAAAGCTCATGATCAGATTCACATGGATACCCCTGTCCTGGAGCTTACTTGCCTTGAAGGACTGAAGACAAACTAGAACTTAAACTGAGAGAGACACAGACCCTGGTGAGGCATTCATTCATCATCTCTCTTAAGAAGAGGTACTGGCTTCCCTTCATAGCAGTGCCTCCCAACAGGGCAGAGGAGGCCCCTAGTGAAATGGAACCCATAGCCTGGGGGGATGGACTTCTGCCAGAGCCAAATATGGTTCCATGGAATCCATCTTGTCTGTCTTGGCTAAAGGAAGGCTGCCCTATAATACTGCTTAAGGACCAAGACTAGGCAGTAGCAAATGGACCCAAGAGGTGCACGGCAGCCATTTCTGCCCGGGGCCCAACAGAGCTACATTTAGTTCTATCTCGGTAGTAAAAAATATAAAGTCCCTTCAAGAAGGGGTAAAACCCTAATTACAGGGAAAAAAAAAAAAAACAGGATAAACAGCAAATGAGTGCTGATTATTCCTGTACTAGTTCCCATTTTATTATTTATCTGTAGTGGAAATATCTCAAAGTGCACAACACAAAATTGCATACTCCCACCCCTAACCTGCGTGCATCTTAATTCTCACCCTGCCTCCTGCCCCATCATCCCACCTGCCTCTCTCCTGCTCTACTAGCTCCTGCCAGGCCCCTTGGCCCGACAGTGCCCTCCCGACTGCTGGTTAGTCAGTGCCCCCCTTCTGTTTGGCCAGAGTGCGCTTTAGCTCCCGCAGGTTCTCTGTCAGCACCTCCACCTCATCCAGGCGGCCACTCTGTTTGGCATCGAAGATGTACGCCTTGATGTTATCGATCTGCTGAAGGAGGAGCTCCTCCTCTATAAGCTCCTCAGCCTCTGGCCCACTGTCACTGTCCACCTCGAAGGGGTTGGTACAGGTGGGCTCCTCAAAGGGGTTGCCAGGAACCAGAGGGCTTGAGGATCTTGGGTGGGGATGTTCATCTTCCTCATCAAAGGGGTTGGGCACTGGACTGTCTGGGTGAGTGAAGGGATTCTCTGCTGCTGCCTCTTCCTCCTCCTCTTCCTCAAAAGGGTTATACACTTTGGGGATATAGGCTGAAGGGCCAGAGGAAAGCTCTGTGGCAGGAGCGCTGGCAGTGGCCTCTTCTGTGGGGCTGGAGAAGTCTTCCTCATCAAAGGGGTTTAGGGAGGGCACCTCATCTTGCTGGGATATGCTGCTCTGGGGTAAGAATTCCTGGCCAAGGACTGGGGGCCCCGACCATATTTGAACAGGTTCTTGAGCTGAGCATGGTGAAGGGGTCTTAGGAGCTGTGCTACTTTGAACTGGAGAAGAGCCCAGATCCAAAGCATAAGCAAGGTGAGTGCGAGGCTCCCTGCCAGCCTGTAGCTGAAAAGGCCTGATTTCTCGGAAGTCCAGGGACCGAGTCCGTGTGTGCAGAGATGCCGCCCGGAACTGCTCCCTCTCCCGTTCCCACTCCCGTTCACAGAGCATCTGCAGCTGTTCCCGCTGCAGGTCTTCCTCCTCAGCCTGCTTCCGGGACAGCTCAATGGCCTTCTCTGTCTGCTGCTGGTCATACTCATCCTGTAGCTGCCGCAGGTTCTCCTGCAACGTGCGCACTTCATCTGTGCGACCTGCGGCCTTGGCCTGCCTGATAAATGATGTGATATTGTGAATCTGCTGGAGGAGGGGATCTGAGTCTTCACTCTGTCCTTGACCTCCTGATAGGGCGAGCCAGCCCTCAGCCTTTCTCAAAGGGGTATGGCCTCTGTGGAGAGATACCACTTCCCCATTGGCTGCTCGAGATGCCAGACCACTCTGTCTTTCCTCAAGCCTTCGGTGGGACTCCAGGGCAGCCTGGGGAGACACAAAAACCAAAAAGAAGGAACAAGTCGCCATGTTAGAGGCAGCACACACTGTCAGCTACCTTCTGTGGTTCCTCTATCTTTGTGCCACTGACATTCCAATTTCCCACTTAGGACTAACATATCCAAATGCTGAGATCAAATCATGTCTGTGTGTGGCCTACGGAGTGCAGGGTACATAATTTAAAAAAAAATGAATAACAATAAAGGGCTAAGATTTTCTCAATCCTAGATTCACTGGCTATATGTCTTCCTTAAACCTCTGGGATCTACTATGTTTCCCAGAAAATAAGACCTACCCCTAAAATAAGCCCTAGCAGGATTCCTATGCATTTGTTAAAAATAAGCCCTACCCCAATAATAAGACCCCCAGATACGCTGCATAGTCACGACATGCATTTCAGCACAGAGCGGTAAGGAAGACTGGAATAACCTTTTATCCCCTGAAAATAAGCCCTAGTGTGTCATCTTGAGAAAAAATAAATATAAGACAGTGTCTTATTTTCAGGGAAACACAGTATTACCCTCATCTATACTAGAATTTCATACAATGTTAAATACACATATTATTTTGGTGTTTAGTACTGTATATTCCAATGTGTTCTACAAAGAATTTCCTAGTTTCTTCCTAGTAACTTCTGCCAGAGGGAGAATAATCTCTGTAGTATTCTAGCCATGAAAATATCAGCAGAACCTATGAAAAAAAAAAAAAATAGGACCTGGGGAGAAAAACAATTATTGTGTTTTCTACAGATGTCAGTGAGGCTGCAACAGAAGAAAAATGCAAACTTGACTGTGCAATTCACTATAACCTCACAGGGCCTCTTGGGAGCCTGTGGTGGGCTCTGTGCTTCAGCACCACAGGAAGAAGTGGCCCCGTATCCTTGATTTCACTCACTTGTCTCTCCATGGCCCTCTTCCTCTCCATTTCCTCCTTCCTGTTCTTTTTCAGTTCCTCAAACTGTTCTTTGGTTGGCAGTGACATCAAACCAAGCAACTTTTCCTGTAGGAATCACACATAGTTTTACACTTAAACCCTTTTAGGAAAAAAAATGAACCTTAAGCACCATGACGAGAATCTGCTTAAGCTAAGCCATTCTATGGCTCAGAGAGTGACAGAAATTGATGGCAGCAGGAAAGTCACAAACCTTATACTGGGCCAGAGAGTAAACTTCCAAATGGGCCTGCATTCTCCTTCTGGAACGTCAACATCAGACACCCCAGTTATTTGCCGGACCCGGGGCGTCTCTAATGGCCTCCCCATGAGGCCTGTCCCTGACCACCCTATCTAAACCTCCAACCCAGCCCTCCCTACAAGCCTCCCACTTTATGTTTCTCCATAGCACTTACTGCCATCTAACATATCATATATTTTAATTGTTTATTGTTTATCCCTCTCTCTAGAATATAAGCTTTATGAAAACAGGAATGTTTATCTTTTTCATTCACTATAAGACACCTAATACCTGGAACACTGCATAGCACATAGTAGGTACTGAACAAATGACTGTGCAATTGAGTCACTAATCAAAAAGAGAAAATGCCAGCTTTTCTGCACTACAGTGGTAGAAAACTAACCCAACGAACACTATTAGATCTTTTTTTGTCAGGGAACCCCAAAGGCAACAAACTATGACTTTCTCAGAAGAGGCTTTCAGAGGTAGAAAGATATGATTCATATCTAACCTCAAATCTTGGTTTAGTGTGCCTTTAAAAAATCAGCTGTTTCCTCCCAACTGATGGCCCAGGAAGGAAGAAACACACTGAGTTCCAGTATCACTAACATGGTTAACACTTATAGCAGCAAGATATTAGAGTTTATCAACTGCCCAACTAAAGGGAAATCATAACAGAAAGTATGACATACACAGCCAAATCAGTGCCCTGTAGCCATTCAAATAATGGCTGTTTGAGCACCATGTAAAACATGCTCGTGATATAAAATACAATACGCAAATGTGCACCGTAATCATAACTGCTGTGTACAGAAAATGCAAATGGGTTTTAAAAAAGAAGAAAACATAACCAAATGATGAGTGATTAAACTGGGGACTTAAGAGTAAAGGTATGTTTACTTTTTGCCTGAAATCCAGATCTTTCTCTAAATCTGGCATAATGCATTCATAACCTTAAAAAGTAATAAACATGTGAAAAGAAAATAAGCCATTGACATGAATCTGCCCTCTGAGGCACAGAAGAGACAGGCAGGCCAAGTGCAACATTTATGCCACCCCAGGATGGCTTTACCTGCACAAATAACGTAGCTGAGTATCTGATCATCCTCTGCAGCCGCAAAGTGTTTGAATGTGGTGGAGGGTCCTGGTTCAAGCCTAAGGTTAAGATCTTCTTACTGCATTAGAACAAACACATTAACGCAAGGAATACTGCCAGCCACATTAACAAAGGTGAAAAGTCCCTGGAGTTGCCAGGCTTTCATACCAGGAAGATGTGTAGAGATGGGTAATGGACTCCACCAAAGTTTCTTTCTTTCTTTTTTTTTAGACAGTCTCACTCTGTTACCTAGGTAGAGTGCTGTGGTGTCATCATAGCTCACAGAAACCTAGGTTTGAGTGATCCTCTTGCCTCTGTTTCTCGAGTAGCTGTGACTACAGGCACTTGCCACAACTCCTTGTTCATTTTTTCTGTTATTGGTAGAGATGGGGTCTTGCTCATGGTCAGTCAGGTCTTGAACTCCCGACCTTAGGCAATCCACCTGCTTTGGCTTCCCAGAGTGCTAGGATTACAGACACGAGCCAATATGCCTGGCTCCACTGAAGTTTCCTTAAAGGGAAAGCCCATTTCTTACTTCTGGCTGTACACAAAGTCCCTATGCTTGGTCATCAAGGAGCTAGCCAGAGCTGGCTTCAGGGGTGAGTGACTTATGCAACAGTTTAGGGTCTGGCACTTACAAGGGCCCTGTGCTTGATTTAATTTTCTGCTGTCCCTGTCTTAAAATTCTTTTGTGTGTGTATTTGTTTTGTTATTTTCTCGCCCTCAGTAGAGTGCCATGGCATCATAGCTCACAGCAACCTCAAACTCTGGGCCAAGTGATCCCCTTATGTAGGCCTCCTGAGTAGCTGGGACTACAGGTGCCTGCCACAATGCCTGTCTATTGTTAGAAATGGAGTCTCACTCTGGCTCAGACTGGTCCTGAACTCATAAGCTCAGGTGATCCACCTGCCTTGGCTTCCCAGAGTGCTAGGATTACAGGGATGAGCCACCATGCTCGGCCTTTAAAATTCTTAGTAATTTTTTTTTTTTTGAGACAGAGCCTCAAGCTGTCGCCCTGGGTAGAGTGCCTTAGCATGAGAGCTCACAGCAACCTCCAATTCCCGGGCTTAAGTGATTCTCTTGCATCAGCCTCCCAAGTAGCTGGGACTACAGGCACCCACCACAACACCTGGCTATTTTCTGATTGCAGCTGTCATTGTTTGGTGGGCCCAGGCTAGATTCGAACCCGCCAGCTCAGGTGTATGTGGATGGCGCCTTAGCCACTTGAGCCACAGGCACCGAGCCTGTTAATAATTTTTGAACACGGGATATGCATTTTTGTTTTGCACCAGGCCCTGCAAACTATGTACCTGGTCCTGTATATATGGATGTACAAAGACAAGTCATATCAATTTTCCTCTGAATCCCTTACTTCCTACATTTTAAAGAGCTATCTAAACCCAGCAGGTAGTCCACTGTTAAAAAGTAGCTGTGGGGGCGGCGCCTGTGGCTCAAAGGAGTAGGGTGCTGGCCCCATATGCTGGAGGTGGCGGGTTCAAACCCAGCCCCGGCCAAAAACTGCAAAAAAAAAAAAAGTGTGGACCCGAGAACTGAATACAGACGTGAAGAAAGAGCACAAGTTTTCAGCCAGGCACAGTGGCTCATGCCTGTAATCCCAGTACTTTATAAGGCCAAGGTGGGAGAATAGCTTGAGGGCCAGAGTTTGAGAACAGCCTGAAAAGGAGAAAAATTAGCTGGGTGTGGTGGCCTGTAGTCTCAGCTACTCAGAAGGCTGAGGCCGAGGCTAAGGTGGGAGGATCATTCGAGCCTGGCTGCTCAAGGTGAGACTGCAGTGAGCTATGATGGGCCCACTGGACTCCAACCTGGGCAAAAAAAAGAAAAAAAGAAACCTAAGTTTGTTTTTTTTTTTTTTTTTGAAACCTGGGTTTTTATTGTGGCCTCACCCTGTTGCTAGATGAGGCACAATCCCCACCTATAAAATAGGATGCTAATCCCTATTACACAGGGGAACTTTGGGAGAATAAATTAGCTACTTTATGAGCAAACAGCACACAGTTGCTGTCAATAACCAGTTCTTCTTTAATAATAAAACACTAATCAGAAAATAGTATCATTAAAGAAAAAAACGCAAGGATCGGCTCAGCACCCATAGCTCAGTGGGTAGGGCACTGGCACCATGCACTGGAGCTGGTGGGTTCAAACCCAGCCCAAGCCTGCTAAACAAATAAACAAACAAACACAAAAACAGCTGGGCATTGTGGCAGGCGCCTGTAGTCCCAGCTACAAGGGAGGCTGAGGCAAGAGAATCCCTTGAGCCCAAGAGTTTGACATTGCTGTGAGGTGTGACGCCACAGCACTCTAAGGAGGGCGGAATAGTGAGACTCAGTCTCAAAAAAAAAAAAAAAAAACCTCAAGGATCTGGGTCATCCAGTTGTAAAAGAGGATGAACTTCAATCTGGAGACCAAGATGAGGATGATGAAAATGAAGTGGCTAAAAAGGACCAGGATAGTATCTAGCTTTTAAATCTATATCAACAGTTGAGTCTATTTGAGGATTATATTTGAGATTGGCTTTGAGGATGGAATGAATCTTTTTTTTTTTTGTTTGAGACAGTCTCATTATGTCACCCTCAGTATAGTGCCGTGGCATAACAGCTCACAGCAACCTCAAACTCTTGGGTTTAAGCAATTCTCTTGCCTCAGCCTCCCAAGTAGCTAAGACTACAGGTGCCTGCCACAACGCCCAGCTATTTTTTGGTTGTAGTGGTCATTGCTGTTTAGCAGGCCCAGGCCAGGCTCAAACCCGCCAGCCTTGGTATATGTGGCTGATGCTCACAGCCACACTGAGCTATGGGCACTGAGCCATGATGGAATGAATTTTAAGACAGTACTTTGGTTTGCCTCTGCAGAAAATAAAGATTCAGACACCAAATGGAAAACATTCACTAGTAAGACTACTGAGGTATTTTTTAAGTGTTGGCACCCATGTTGAAAACCCTAAGACTCTAACTTTATGCAGAATATATACCTTTTATTTAAATACAACTGAACTGCCCCAAAATATAATTTGCAGAGAACTTCAGATATCAAAAAAAAAAAAAAAAAAAAAAAAACATTTTAAGGCATGTGGTAGTGATGTTATTTGCTTTAGTTCATTGGTTGTTTATTTTCAGAATTTGTGACTTTAAGTACTAAGACAGTTGATTTAGTACTTATTGGATTGAAATCATTGTTTCTAAATTCAGCATCTGAATTCTTAGCTGATGATTTTCTTTTAAAGGCAAGATAGCCTGGGCAGAGAGATAATGTACATCATCAGCCTCCATCCAGTGTGACTGCTAAGATGCGCAGGATAGGACAGTTGACAACATGTGCCTTGACATCTGACATGGCTGCATTCTGTTCCTCAGTGAAGAAGCCAAGGATGCTGACACACTCACGGGTGAGATGGAGGGTGATTCTGAGAAACTTTTGCTACAGTGTATTAACATAGCTGGTCTTCTTTTAAGGTAAACATCTAAAAAAGAAGTTAACAGCTCATGCAACTCAGATTTAGTATTGTTAATTATCATAAAATGTATTATGTTCCTAGTTTTCAAAAGATCCAAACTATGATTTTTTTTTTTTTTTTTTTTTGAGACAGAGCCTCAAGCTGTCACCCTGTGTAGAATGCTATGGCATCACAGCTCACAGCAACCTCCAACTCCTGGGCTTGAGTGATTCTCTTGCCTCAGCCTCCCAAGTAGCTGGGACTACAGGCACCCACCACAACGCCTGGCTATTTTTTGGTAATAGTTCTTACTGTTGTTTGGTGGGCCCGGGCTAGATTCGAACCTGCCACCTTAGGTGTATGTGGCTGGTGCCTTAGCCACTTGAGCCACAGGTGCCGAGCCACCATAATAGCTTTAAATCCCCAGATTAAGTAGTCTTCTTGATTATTTTTACTTCTTGTCTCATGCTGGATTAGATATTCATTGTTTTACATCATCTGGTTGATCAGAGTTTCTATGGGTCACAAAAGAGCCGGCCCCACCAGTGTTGTCCTTCTGTCAGCCTATCAGCATTCCCTTAGTCAGTCATCTTTTTGTGGCCATTTCTGTATGCCACTTATTATTTTGTGTAATAATAGATTTTTAAAAAGCAAATGAAGCAAGGTGTCAAAATGTAATGTTTCATAATAAAAATATATATTATATTTACTTAAAAATAACAAACATTAGAAATAGTTAACCAAGTCACTGAGGTGTATGTACCAAGTCTCAGAGCTGGCCCCTTCCTTGGCCTCCTCCTGTCTAGGCATCCCCACCATCACCAGGACTCTGGGGGAGTGATGGCCAGCTTATCACCACCATTTCATTACAACAGCATCTTTTCCACTCACCCAGCAGGTAAGGCACCACCTAACGGACCTTACCTTAAGGTGTCTATTAGCTCATATACTTTCTGTACTTCCACTCGGAGGTCATTGGCATGTTCCAGACTATACGTTGTCTCCCCAGCACTAAGGAGAAATGACAGAGATATTCAATCTCAGTTTCACTGCACTGATTAGAGAACACAGTGGAAGGACACTAAAGGTTTGAGGCCTCACAAAGGCAAACAGAATTCTTTTTTTTTTAGAGACAGAGTCTCACTTTATCGCCCTTGGTAGAGTGCTGTGGCATCACAGCTCACAACAACCTCCAACTCCTGGGCTTAGGTGATTCTCTTGCCTCAACCTCCCAGGTAGCTGGGACTACAGGCGCCTGCCACAATGCCTGGCTATTTTTTGTTGGAGTTTGGCCGGGGCCGTGTTCAAATGACACTCTCAGTATATGGGGCCAGCGCCCTCCCCACTGAGCCACAGGTGCCGCCTCGGCAAACATAATCCTTTTAAAGTGGCATTCAGATTCTCAGTGTCCATGCCTTGAAATGAAAGAATCAAACGGATGTTGCTTTTAGTTTGTGGACACCACAGTGATAGACTTGTGCCTAAGACTCATGAGGACCAGCCCTTATGCTCTCCACTAAAGTAAATGCGAATGAACTTACTGGGCCTACTGTCCCTAAATAATCTAACTACATCTAATGAGATGTAACAAGTAGTTTACTAAACACATAGGTTACATTAAGTTAGAATAGAAAGCCACTTGGTCTTTCTCATAAATGTATTCAGCTTTCCAGGCCACACAAGCTCTGTGACTACTGTTCAACTCCACTGCTGTCGTGCAGAAGCAGCTACAGACAAATAATCAAACAAATGGGCACGCCTGCATTCCAAAAAAACTTTATTAAAATAGGCAGCAATAATGAATGTTGGCAAAGTTGTGGAGAAACTGAAATCCTCATATGTTGCTGATGGAAATATAAAATGGTGTCATCATTTTGGACAACAGTTTGGCAATTCCTCAAAAAATCAAATACTGAATTACCCTAAAACCCAGCAATTATATTCCTAGGTACATACCCAAAAGAAATGAAAACATACATCTACACAAAACATTTGCACACAATATTAAAGGAAGATTATTAATAACCGCCAAAAGTGAAAAAAAAGGAATGTTCACCAATTGAAGAGTGGATAAAAAATGTGGCATAGGTGGAGGGAGGGTGATTGGAGGAATCACCTCTATGGTTTATCTTACAAGGGTACAAGTGAATCTTTCTAAAAGTAGAATATAAACGTCCTAACACAATAACTAAGAAAATGACATAAAGGCTATGTCAACCAGTTTGATGAAAATATTTCAAAGTATATATGAAAATACCACATTGTACCCCATGATTGCATTAATGTACACAGCTATCATTTAATAAAAAAGAAAATGTGGCATAGATCAATACAATGCATTCATACAAAAGGAATGAAGTCATGATACAATCTTTTTTTTTTTTTTTTGAGCCAAAGTCTCACTCTGTTGACCTCTGTAGTGTCGTGGTGTCACAGCTGACTCTTAGGCTTAAACGATTCTCTTGCCTCAGCCTCCCAAGTAGCTGGGACTACAGGAGCCTGCCACAACATCCAGCTACTTTTTGGTTGTTGTTGTTGCTGTAGTTCTCAGTGAAAGAATGTCATCTGTCCTGTTTAGCTGGCCCAGGCCAGGTTCGTACCCGCCAGCCTGGGTATATGTGGCCAGCGCCCTACCCACTGAGCTATGGGCACTGCCTGCATGATGCAATCTTAAAAACACTATACTGTGAGAGAGAAGCCAGATGCAGAAGATCTTATATTTATGACTCCATTTATATAAAATGTCAATAATAGACAAATCCATACAGCCAGAAAAGTGTCTGACAGGGAGGCGGGGAATAGGCAGTGACTGCTAAGGGTATGGGGTTAGTTTCTCATAGGGGGATGGAAATTTTGGAATTGAGATCGGTAATGGTTGTACAACTTCATAAATGTACTAAAATCACACTTCAAACAGGTGAATTTCATGGTGTGTGAACTACATCTCGATTTAAAAATAAAGAAATAGATGGTAGGCTAGATTTAGCCCACAGGCAGAAGTTTACCAACCCCTGCTCTAAGGGAAATGTCTATTTTAAGCCCTGTCACCTCAATGCCACCCTGAAATGGCATGAGCATGAGAGCCATTGCCTTACAGTCTTTCTTTCCAATGCTGTACTCAACAACTCATCTGAGACCCCAAACTCAGTGCTCAGTCAAAAGAGCCACACTCCCCTGCTGGTGGGAATGCAAACAAATACATTCCTTTTGGAAAGATGTTTGGAGATCACTTAGGGATCTAAAAATAGACCTGCCATTTAACCCTTCAATTCCTCTATTAGGTATATATCCAGAGGACCAAAAATCACTTTATAACAAAGATATTTGCACCAGAATGTTTATTGCAGCCCAATTCATAATTGCTAAGTCATGGAAGAAGCCCAAGTGCCCATCAACACGTGAATGAATCAGTGAATTGTGGTATATGTACACCATGGAATATCATGCAGCCTTAAAAAAAAGATGGAGCCTTTACCTCTTTCATGTTTACACGGATGGAGCTGGAGCATATTCTTCTTAGCAAAGTATCTCAAGAATGGAAGAAAGAGTATCCAATGTACTCAGCCCTACTATGAAACTAATTTATAAGCACCCACACTTCCAAATGAAAGCTATTACCCAACTATAGCCCAAGATGAAGGGGAAAGAGGAGAGGGAAGGTCCCCACACCAGCATGAGGCAGTGCCTGAGTTCACCACACAAAGGGGGGAGGATTGGTGGCAGGAGGGTAATTGGTGGGACAACACCTACGGTACATTTTACGAGGGTACATGTTAAATCTACTAAGGGTAGAATATAAATGTCTTAAAATAATAACTAAGAAAATGCCATGAAGGCTATGTTAACCAGTTTGATGAAAGTATTTCAAATTGTATATAAAACTAGCACATTGTACCCAATAATTGCATTAATGTACACAGCTATGATTTAATAAAAATAAAAAATAAAATAAAGTAAAATAGGCTTGGTGCCTGTGGCTCAAGCGGCTAAGGTGCCAGCCACATATACCTAAGCTGGCGGGTTTGAATCCAGCCCAGGCCTGCCAAACAACGACGGCTGCAACCAAAAAATAGCCAGGATTTGTGGCGGGCACCTGTGTCCCAGCTACTTTGGAAGGCAGAGGCAGGAAAATTGCTTGAGCCCAGGAGTTGGAGGTTGCTGTGAGCTGTGATGTCACGGCACTCTACCCAGGGCAACAGCTTGAGGCTCTATCTCAAAAAATATATAAATAAATAAATAAAATAAAATAATTTCCTGAGGGGAGAAAATAAAGCCACCCTCACCTGAACATGGCTGTTGTGTATTTTTACAAGCTCACATGTTGGTAAAATGTACCCCACTGAAACAATGACATGAAGGTTCTCTGCAGCTGGTCACAGAAGAAAAGCATGGCTAGAGTTAAGATTTTTCACTTTTGTCTACTTTGGAACTGACCTAAAATGTCAGAAAGCAATCACCGCCGGTTTAGAAAAACAAGAAAGGAACAGCTTACTTTAATGATGCTGCCATCTTGATGTATTCTGGGGCTTTCTGGTCAACTTTCTCCATGCAAAGTCGTAATTTCTAAGAACAAAAAAGAGAGAAGTGAGGCTCTCAAAATACAGAAAAGCCTATCCAGAAACTAGGCTACATCAACAGAGATGTATTTAAAATTTTCATTTTTCTTAACATTTTTCAAAAAATTTTTGTTACTCTTATCCATTTCCTACTTACAGACATTTTTCCCAAGCAGAAAACCTTGCAGCAAGGAAAGAAAGTAAAGATGGAAGTTTTGACCAGATGTTTGTGAGAGAAGCAAGGCCTTTCAGAGCATACGTCAAGTTGTCTACCAAGATAGAGATGAGGAATTAGCTGCTATCTTTTTTCTCTGACAGGTGATGCCCAGCAGGACACCAGCATGAGGCAGTGCCTGAGTTCACCACACAAAAGAAGGTGGCTAATCCCAGGGACTCAGGAGGGGGCAGCAGGATCAGCCGGGGCCTCAGAGAGAAAAACCTTGTCTCTTTAAAAAAAAAAAAAAAAAAGAAAGGAAGGAAGGAAGGAAGGAAGGAAAAAAGGGAAGACAAAAAGAGAGAAAGGAGACCAAAAGCACTCTTACCAAAAAAATGAGATATCAAGACATGAACTCCACCCAAAGGCTGGAGAATGGCTATATCTGTATCTCAGCACAGGGTTTAATTAATACCATTTCTAGTAGCTTGAGTATTATACAGTGATTCCAGAAACTGTCATGATCTGCAGAACTAGTGACAGTGACCATTCAGACAAAAATACACTCTTCCTCTGTTCAGAGTTTTGCACAAGCTGCTTCCTTTATCTGGACTGATTCCCTGCCCCCAGAATCCTACTGCCTCCCTGCCCACCTGGCCATGAGGAAGCTGAGCCAGTCTCACACCCAGATGTTCTTTGCACTACACTATCTCCTCTCAAAGTATGCACCTACTAAGGGCGTTCTGGGATCAATGGCAGTAGGGAGAGCTGAGGCATTCAAACAAACTTAGAAGGGGACACTCTCAGCCTACTGCAATAAACAAGTAAAGCCTAAAAACTTGCCAAGTTTGGGTAAAATGGTAAAGCCTGAAAAGCTGTAAGACTTTCTCAAACTTACCAAGTCTAAAACTCCAGAGTGAGCTTCCCAAGACTCTTCTGGCCCACTATTTCTACCCTCTCCAGCTTCAGCCCCTCCTGCAGAACTCATCCACTCGCACGGCAACTGCCCTTCCTCTCCTTGCTCTGGGCCACCCAAGCCTCTACCCTCCTGCTTTCAAGTAGACAGGATGGGTGAGGGAATGAGTTTGTTGCAGCACACCCAGGATGACTCTGTGACTCACTCAGGGCCCAGCTGAGAATTCACATCATTGAACTAAAAGTGATTCAAAGAAACAACTTAAAGCATTTTCCAGAATGCTGAACACTAAGTACTTAACGAAGAACCACATCTGCCTGACGAATCAGACCCAAGATCACACTCGTGTCACCTCATAGAGCTTCACAATGTCAGGTGTATGCTCCTTCTCGTCAATCTGCTGCTCTCTCTTGAGCAGTGTGTCCTTGCAGTGCGTACAGCAGCGGATCCGGTCATCATCCTTCTCGTCCAGGACAGAGCTCACACTGCTCATGCTGCTGATGCTGCCACGGCGGGAGCCATGGACACTATTAGGTGACTGGCTGGGGCTGGTGTGGGCGCTCAAGGAATCCTTGCTGGCACTGGTGAGCTTGCCTGTAAACCATAACACTGACAGGCAGCAACGATCCTCCAATCATCCCACTGCCCACGACCATGAAGTGTCAGTCCACAGGTGTTTAATTTGGGGAGTAATAGGACCAGGCTTCACCTATGGGAAAGAAGTACTTGCTCCTCTGCCTTCACGGTGGGAAAAGACTCCACAGCCACCCAGACTAGAGCCAAAAAGCCTAGAGTGGTCTGTGTTTGAGGCTCTGAGGCCCAGACCTAACCTGGCCTCACCACCTACCTTCCTCCTCTACTTGCCTTCAGTCTCAGACAGAACCCACATTCTGCCAGGAGACTTTCCTCCTCAACCTTCCCCCACTTCCCAAACATCTGGCTCCTGCCCCTTCCAAAGCTCAGCTCAAATGACATATCCCCACGGCACAAACTATCTATGCTTCCTATCAGTTCCCCCCCACACTGCCCCTTTCAGGGCACTTTGCACTTTCCTCCCTGTGTAATAGTTACATGTACATCCCAGAGGAATCTGTGACTCTGTGAGGGTACAAACTCTGTGTTACACACTTGCTCTCCTAATATATCCAGCAGGGTCACCCCTTAGTAGTTGCCCAGTAAGTGCTGGCTAATGAGTTCCAGAGAAGAAATGTGAATAGTGTCCCCAAAATTGTAGTTTATGAAGTCCTAGGTAAGACAGGGCATCAGTCTCAGGAAGAGAAGGTCAAGGTAACGCGGGTACAGTGGATGTGAGAGTTGGACAGAGGAAGCATCTGCCTTTGCACCCACACTGTCCAGACAACCTGTGTCCAATGGCACACAGTCAGCAGAACTTTCCAGCACTGCAAATCCACCCCAAACTTCCCAGCAGCCAGTCAGTTCATCTTCAGCAACTTCTAACCTGCTGAGATGCAAAGTCCTGGAAAAAATGGTTCCACCTAACCTTTCCAGGCTCATTTCATAATTTGCAAACATGTCCTCCATACTCCTCACAAGGCAAAAAGGTTTTCCAGAAGCCAATTCAATTAGTTCATCTATCAGTCTACCCTGGCACTTTCCAAATTTCAGGTCTTTGCTCTTCACTCTACCCAGAATGTCCTCCTTCCCCATATCTTTGGCGATCTTAACTCATCTTTCAAGGCTCTTCTTGAACATCATCTCCTGACCCTAAGCCTCCATACCACTTAGCATCTATCATATTACGATATTTATTTTCTCTATAAGACAGTTGGTGGCTTTTACCCCAAAGTAAGGGACTGGCCCACTGCTTATTTTTCAAGATCCTCTACTCAAAGTCTCACCTGTCACTCCCATGAAGAGCTGACAAAGAGTTGGTCAGCCTCTCCCATGTGCCTCTCATTGTATGTATCTCTTTATAAAGCAATCATGTATTTGTGAGTTTGTATCCCCTGCTAGATGCTGGACTCCTTGGGGGAACAGACAGTGCTTATAGACCAGCTCTGGGCAAAAGACAACCTGCAAGTCCAATCTACAGGCTCTTCTTGTATAGCCCCCAAACTAAGTACTGTCTTTACATTTTTAAAACATTATTTAAAAAAAGAAGAAATGTCAGTGGGACCACACGTGATCCACAAAGCCACTTTATAAAAAAGAGTTATAGACTTATTATATCCCTTGCTACTAGTACAGTGCCTGGGTCTTAGTGGGCTTCATAGAATCAACAAATGAATGAATGAAAATTCACATGGGCCATTAATTTAACAAAAAGGTCCCATGGTCCCTTGGTGATAAGCAAATAAGTCAGGCCAAGGAGAAGGTCAGGGGGCAGGGCACTGCCTCCATGCTACCTACTTGCAAAGGGAAGGCTGATGAGCTCCATGCACTTCTTGCACATGATGGACCCGCAGAGACGGCAATGGTGGCGGCGGTTTCGGATGCTGAACTTACTCCCACAGTCTGGACAGAAAGGGACATCCTGGTCATTGACCCAAGGCACCACGGACTTTTCTATTGCTTTGGGAAGAAGAAACCAACAAAAAGGCATTCCATTTTAAAAAGAAATTTGGTCAGGGAGAAAAATAAAAACTAGAATCAATGTAAGCTAAGCTCCAAAGTTACCTCGAATCTTTGCAGACTCAGTATTTGTTCTGTCAAATGCAGTGAGCTGACCAGGAGAAAACAAAGCCAAATATAATTAACCCAGTGATACATACTTGCTCCACCCTTTCCACTCTTCAGGCATCAAGCAGGAATTAGCACATTTGCATTTCTCAAGTCTCATCTGTCATCCCCAGCCCCAGAAAGTCACAAAAGCAATTTCATAGGGGACAGAGCATCACTTTAGCTTGGCATCTCTAAGGCACCTCCCTTCCTATGACCCTGTTCTACTCTCTTTATTGTCATTTAGCCATTTCAACAATAAGCAGGAGAGGGCAAGGATGGGGTAGGGCCAAATGCCACATATTACTGCCCTACAAAGTACACAAAAAGAACTGTACTGTGGATACTGCCATGCGCACCACACAATCCAAATTATACACACCACACATTTCCAGGGTCAAAGTACACCACTGAGACCTGGTGGCCACTCTTGTATTTGCCACTAAATGATACACTACACCCCACTGGGTAATTGTACCTGGGACACCAAAGAGGACAGAATCTGAAGGCAGAAAGGTTTTCCAGAAGCCAAGCAGGAATCATAGACAGAAGAAAGGAAGCTGGATGTGTGGCAGGTCTGTCAACCTGGGCCATTCTCTTCAGAAAGCCATCCCAAGTGAGAACTGCCCCCCACATCCTCTGCCCCTCTCTAGGGGGGGCGCTTCTCTACCTGAATCAGATGTATACAACACATACGACACATGCTACATAAATGAGACTGTCTTCCCTTAGAAAATGTGCACTTGCTGAAAAAAAGTGTTTTAAAACAAACAAGTTTACCTTCTCTAACCTGATTATTAATTTATTGACTTCAACAACATAGTGGTCAATTCTGGCAGCTCGGTGTTTTTTGAAATCAGAAAGATGGCTTCTCATAGCACCTAGAAGGAGGGAAGGTGGGAGGTAAGTGACTTGTAATTTCTCTGAGGAAGCCTTTCTACATTGCTGCTTACCTTCAATGAATTTCAAAAGCAAGTAAAAATTCTAGGATTTTAGGGTCTTAACTAAAAATTCAAAACCCAGAAAAGCAAATGGAAAGAAATTTGCTAAAAGTAAAATATGATAGATCTCGGAGTACAGTAGATAAGAGCTTGAACTCTGGAGCCAGCTTATCCTCAAGTTTCAATCCTGCCACACATGGTGTGACCTTGGACAAGTTACTTAACTTCTCTGTAACTTAGTATCTACTTCCATGGAGATGTTATGAGGATTAAATAAGTTAAAATTTATTAAGTCGGCTTGGTGCCTGTGGCTCAAGTGGCTAAGGCACCAGCACATACACCGAAGGTGGCAGGTTCAAATTCAGCCCAGGCCGCCAAACAACAATGACGGCTACAACCAAAAAATAGCCAGGCATTGTGGCGGGCGCCTGTGGTCCCCGCTACGTGGGAGGCTGAGGCAGGAGACTTGCTTGAGCCCAGAAGTTGGACATTGCTGTGAGCTGTGATATCACGGCACTCTACCCAGGGGGACAGCTTGAGGCTCTGTCTCAAAAAATAAATAAATAAATAAATAAATAAATAAAATTTATTAAGTCCTTAGAACACTGACTGGCATGTGGATGTCTTAAATAAAAAGTCAGTAACATTATTAGAGATATTTTTCTTATTCTCTTATATTTTTCTATACTTTGTAAAGTTAGTACAATATAGATTTTCCTCAGAATAAAAACAATCCTTCTCAAATGGCTAAAAAAAATGTAAATGCTGATAGATGTCCTTGAAGGAGCTAGTTAAAGGACAGCACACAAAATAAAGAACAAATGTCCCCAAGATAAATGGAACCAAGAAACTAACTGAATGTACCTGTAATTACCCTGCTCGGTCTCACCTCTTCCAGAAAGCACATTGCCCTCAGCCTTCTGGCATTCAGTGCATGTCCCCCTCCCAGTGATCACCTGTTCACTCAGAGACTATACCATATCTGGAACTTGTCACATGCCATGCTTTTTGAAATTGTCATAAAAATATAATGCATTTATCATGTATATTTATCATGATAAATATGATATTTATTTTATTTTTGAAATATGTACACATTATAGAATGGCTAAATAGCTAGTTATCACATATATGCATTACCTTATACCTTTACCATTTTTTGGTAGTAAGAACACTTAAAATCAACTCTCTTAGCAATTTTCAAGAATATATTTTTATTAATTACAGCCACCATCTTCTACAATAGAGCTCTTGAACTTATTCCTTTTGTCTCATATTTTGTATCCTTTGACCAACATTTCCGTGTACTACATTCTTTTTTTTTTTTGAAACAGAGTCTCACTCTGTTGCCCAGGCTAGAGTACTGTGGTATCAGTCTAGCTCACAACCACCTCAAAATCCTGGGTTCAAGCAATTCTCCTGCCTCAGCCTCCCAAGTAGCTGGGAATACAGGCGCACGCCACAATGCCCAGCTAATTTTTCTATTTTTAGTAGAGACAGGGTCTCAATCTAGCTCAGGCTGGTCTTGAACTCCTGAGCTCAAGATCCTACTGTCTTGGCCTCCCAGAGTGCTAAGATTATAGGCATGAGCCACTGCACTCAGCCTCATGTGCTATATTCTTACCCACTCATGACTCTTTCCTTTGCTAACCATACTCTAACATTTAATAAAAGTTCATTCTAGAATTTTCATAGGTGACTATAAATATTAACTTCTAAAATTTGCCATATTCACTTGACCTTCCCTAACTTGTTAATATAACTTACTCAGTTGTTGAAACAGGCAAGTTAATCAGGAAATCATCTTGGTAATCTGATGCTGGTAATCATGAAATAAACTATTACAAAGCTAAAAAGAATTCATATGTCTGAAATTTCTCCCTAATTGGCTTTCATGTGTACCTCAGAATTACATATATAGAGTATCATTTTTAAAGCAATTTTCTCCTGCAATGACAAAAATATTTCTGCTCTCCAATATAGTAGTTATTAGTAGCTACACGGAGATATCAGAGCACTTGAAATGTGCTTGGTATGTGGTGAAGATCTTTTAATTTTATTTCATTTTAATTTATTTAATTTCTTTATTTAAGAAGCAGAGTCTCTATAAAAGTTTTTTTTTTTAAATTAGCTGAGCCTAGTGCCTCACACTCCAGCTACTTAGGAAGCTGGGACAGGAGGATCACTTGAGCCCAAGAGTTTGAGGTTGCAGTGAGCTGTGATTGTGCCACTATACTCCAGGATAGGTGACAGAACAAAACCCTGTCTAAAAAATAATAAACAAGGGCGGCACCTGTGGCTCAGTGGGTAGGGTGCCGGCCCCATATACCGAGGGTGGCAGGTTCAAACCCAGCCCCAGCCAAACTGCAACAAAAAAATAGCCAGGCATTGTGGCGGGCACCTGTAGTCCCAGCTACTCGGGAGGCTGAGGCAAGAGAATCACCTAAGCCCAGGAGTTAGAGGTTGCTATGAGCTGTGACATCACAGCACTCTATAGAGGGCTATAAGTGAAACTCTGTCTCTATTAAAAAAAATAATAATAATAAACAAATTTAAATAGCCATATATGACTAGTGGCTACTGAATTGGACAGCACAGTTCTAGGATTTATCCAAAAAGACATCTGTAGTGGCACTGTAAGGATATAATAGATGAACCTGAGTAAACATCACTTCCTTTCTTCAAGCCTCAGTTTCCTCATCTATAAATGGGAATGTGCTTCACTACCCATCCTGTATCATAAGACCTTTGTGGAAAGTGAACAAGATCATAAATATGAAAATTTAATAAAACACCATGAAAGAATCATTACTCATTTCATAAACAGAAAATATTATACTAATGATTGTTATTGTGCAACAGTTAAAGCATATAAGGCTGGCTCATGCCTATAATCCTAGCACTTGGGAGGCCAAGGTGGGTGGATTGCCTGAGCTCATGGGTTCCAGAGCAGCTTAAGCCAACATGAGACCTCGTTCTAAAAATAGCTGGGCCTTGTGTCAGGTAGTCCCAACTACTTGGGAGGCTGAAGCAAGAGAATCGCTTGAGCCCAAGAGTTTAAGGTTGCCACAGCACTCTACCGAGGGTGACAAAGTGAGACTCTGTCTCAAGAAAAAAAAACAAAAAAAAAAAAATCAAAGAACACAAAACAATAGTTAAAGGAAATGCGAAGTTAGATAATTCAACTCTGTGTGGCACAATCTTTTTGTTAATAGCTTTATTAAGATATATTAATAATTCACATACACCATTTAAAGAAAATTCAATCATTTTCAGTATAGTCACAGAGCTGTGCAACTATCACAATAAATTTTAGAGCAATTTCACCACCCCCAAAACATGATCCTTTTGAAAGTAGGTGGAATGATGTCGTAATTATTCAAAGAAGTAGTTGCACAAAGCAGTGCCTCTCATCAGACAGGTAATATCCTATGTAAGAGGAGACAGACTCTCCAATCAGTAGAGTTTATGCCTGAGCTGACATCAGAAAGACCTGAGTTCACCTCACTTCTGCGGTTTACCAGCTAACAGACCCTGGGCAGGTTCTTGGGGCTATAGTGGGGATTCAATGAGACCACAAGCATAAAGCATTTAATGCAGTGCCTAACAGGAAGTGGATGTTCAGCTCCTTCTCTTCTTTTTCTTCCACTACCAGATATAAGGTCCATAAAACCATTATGGTTTACTGATGCCTCCTCAGTAAGGCAACTCTTAAGACTTTACCTAGAACATAGGAGCTGCTCAATAACCATTTGTTGAATGAATAAATTTTCTTACCAAGCTCCTGAGGCTCCCACATGTAAGGATCAACCCCTCCATAGCTGAAAGACTCATATCCTTGGGTCCCTGATTCTGCTCGATCATCCCCTTCTCGTTTCAATAACTTGTTCTTTGCTTTCTTAGCCTTCTGGACAAGACCTTGAAAAAAATGGAACAAATGATATAACTGAACCCATGAAGAACATCTAGTAAAGTGTTAAGGGAAATCTCAAAAAACAAAGAGTTGAGGCTCGGCGCCTGTGGCTCAAGTGGCTAAGGCGCCAGCCACGTACACCCAAGGTGGCAGGTTCGAATCCAGCCCGGCCCGCCAAACAACAATGACGGCTGCAACCAAAAAATAGCCGGGCGTTGTGGCGGGTG